CGAGTGGAACGTAAGATAATCAGCTACTTTTTACAAAAATAATTTCCATTTTTCGCTAATGATGGTGTATAACTGATAACTCAATTTCCCACAAGAAAATTAGTTGAAATCTGATTGTACTTTTAAGTACTAAAGAAAATTATTCCTGAAAGGATTTTTACATTGGTATCACCGGAAGCCGAAGGGGTGGAGTCTAGTGGTACCCTTCCGACCCTCGTGACGGGCCAAAGGCCATCATATACTAAAAAGGTACAAAAAATGCGGCTGGTCTTAAGCATACAGACTTCTTATAGCTAATATTGCAATCCGAACTTTGAAATCCTGATTCGTGGGATGCCTAAGGAGTCTGGTTGCAGACGGTCACATTTCTTGCTACATTTTTCGTAACTGATGGTTTCTGGCTATCACAAATTTTTGTAGAAAGTGACAGACGAAAGAGCCTCACGAATCCACTGGGCTCGCAAGACTTCATTGCACACACCCTCGGTTCCAAAAGCAGCCAGTTCGAAACTCCCTTCCAACCCCTCTTTCCATCGAATTGAAATATCGACTCACTCTACCTTATTTAAGGCTTCATCGAAACCTTGCATATTTTCTTATAAATAAATACATAGTTTCAATGAACTCAAGGCGATGCCATGCGATACATCTGCCTTTTAAGATAAGCTGGGCTAAGTTCAATTTAAAGGCATTGTGAGGCCTTTAACTCGTTTCATTTTGAGAAAACCTGCATTCTGTACTACATAATCTTAAGAGACCTACGGTAATTTATGTTTATTAATGAATTCTTAATAGTTTCAATCTAATATAGCAGAATGAACATTCTTTTTTAATTCAATGTCAAACCTTTTGGCATCGTCAGGGCTTGCAGAATTTAGGATTATATACTTTTAAACTTAAATTTTGTTGTTGAGCCGATCTAAAACATTGTCGATTGGTTTTTCGGAGCTATATAATTAAAAATCGCTTAAATTTATGGCATACAACGTAAATATATAAGATGAGCTCACTATATTTGGTTTAAGGTGATGAAGGACTGGTAAAACCCCAGCTAAAGTGCTGATGAAACCAAGTCGAGGTCGAAACTGCAGTCCGCCCTAGATGAGAATACCTCATAGGAAATCATTCAATATGAAATTCACCGGAAGGGTAATGTCTACTCATAATATTGTCGGAAAATACAACTACAAGTACGTCACCATTTTGAATGAAATAATGTGAATATATTTAATATACCTGATTTACTGGTAGTCTCGAAAACTTAACTACAAGCGAAAATATTTGCATAGTAATTTATGGATATTGTTTGACCTTGTTTTCGCAACTTGGTCATATTAGTAGGAAGACTTAGAGGAACGCACCTTGTCCATTGTATGCATTATCATTTCCAGAGTAGGGCCGTGGATGTGGTACATTCTCAGACGTTTCGCCGACATCGAAGTCTGCATCGTCAGTGAGTCTTGCCATTCATAGCACCATATTACAACTCGTCAAAGAGACAAGTGAAGCCCATCCTTTGACCAAACGTGTGC